ACAGGATCATGGCCACCAACTACAGTGCCAATCAGGTAAGTTCTTTCTCCACTTCTCTAACATTAAATTTTGCCTTCCCAATTCTATCTTTGGCCTGGCTTCTCCCATAGGATTCTGATTTTTGAACAGACAGCTGACAGTGGGCTGATTGGGAGGGTCCAGAGATAAGCAAAAGGTGTCTCTGGGTTCAATTTGTAAGATGTAAACCAGAGGTCAGAATTCTTTTCAGTAACAGGTCAGAAAGTAAATATTTTAGGCTTTGCTGCCAAGTAGCAAAGTCAAGAATATTATGTAGACACTTATATAAGACAAATACTTCTCTGTAAAATTTTTAGCAAAATTCAAAACATAAAAACTGAGCACATCTTTTTTTTTTTTCTAATACTAATAAAAAATGGAATTCTTTCAGGGTGAGAAAATATTTTGCTTAATTGGTATTCATAGTGTTCCATTTTGGCAAATCAATTGCAAACATTTATCTAAATCATTCTTAGCTCTCAGGCCATCCCAATACAGGTAGTGATGTGGATTTAGCCCATAAGCCATAGTTCACCAACTCTTGGTCAGCACTGCTCAATAAAAGAGTGGGAGTCACAAATATAATTTCAAATTTTCTAGTAGCTACATGAAAATTAAAATTAATTTCAGTGTTGTAATTTAACCCAATTTAAATCTAAAATATTTGAACATCTAATCAGTATTTTTAAGTTATATTCAGATATTTTATTGTACTATGTCTTCAAAGTCCTTTATATTTAAAAAGCTCTCGATTTGGACTACTCATATTTCAAGTGCTCAATAGCTACTTGTGGCAAGCCCTTAGTTTTAAAATCTAAAGAACTATGTTTAATGCTGGGCATGATGGCATATGCCTCTAATCCCAGCAATTCAGGAGGGGCCTATTCATCATTTCCTAGGTTTGGGACTTGTTTTTCTTTTTAAAGCCATGCTGAGGATTGAACGCAGGACCTCCCACATGCTAAACAATCCCTCTCCGGCTAAGCCTATATCAGCCCAAGCTTGGAAACTTTTAACTTGATACAAATTCTCATTTGTCTCTACAGTATGAAAAAGCTTTCTCACCTAAGATTCTGCAGAACTGGTCTCCTGCCAAACCAACAAAAGAGGTATACCATGTTTGTTATGATCCTTTACATTATGCTCTCTGTAATCCTATCACCCCTTTTTAGTCTTCTCTAAACTTTCTGTCCTCTACTCCCCAGACTCTAGTTCAAGCTCCTCAGATATATCCTCCCTCTATTGTACTATTAAGCATTTCTCTCTTCCACCTCTACCCCAGAAAATCTCTTCCCATGAAGGCTACACCCAGATTATCGCCAATGATCGTGGTCATCTGTTGCCTTCAGTGCCCCGTTCCAAGGTAAGATACCCATCTCCATTCTTATCAAGAAAGGTTAAAGAACTGAGGCATAGAACTGGGAGACTGCAGGCACTCTCTTAAGAAATTAAAGTTCAATCTAATTCATGTTTTGAGTATGCCAAACTCCCAGCTACTTTATCTAATAGGAAAGAGTTGTGCTTAGCATACGAATCTATAAACAGATGAATGAACTGTATAAACAAATGTCCTTGGGTGATGATACTTGGGGGACTCTTGATCCTCTTAGCCTAAGGATGCAGAATTTAGAAGGAAAATGTTGAAAAAAATTCCTAATTGAGGGAGAGGGAAAAGGCAGGGGAGGGATTATGCTTTTAGCCTTGTTTCATTACCATGCACTCCCTAAGGAAGAAAGAATGGAGAGAAGACAAACAAAGGTCCTACCCATAGGAATTTACAGGCAGTGAGAAGCCCTGAAGAATCCCTTTTCCTTTTAGGTAAGTCCCTGGGGTACTTTCATGGGCACCTGGCAAATGCCTCAGAAGATACCCCCTGCTCGAGTGACCTTGACTTCCCGAACAACTGCTGGTGCTGCCTCCCTCACTGAATGGATACAGAAAAATCCTGATTTACTCAAGGCCTGTAATGGGTTGCGTCCTGAAATCTTAGGCAAGGTATTTATTCTTTCTACCTAACCCGAAATCCCATCACCTCCAACCTCAAAAAATGTCTATTGTTATGCCAACATTGTCCCAGCAGGGGGAACTCTAACCATTCTATCTTGTCTAGTCCCTAATCACTTTCTGAGGCCTGAAGGGATGAACTGTGGACTTATTACCAGCCTCTCAACATAATAGAAAATAATCTAATCTCAAGGGGAGGTTAGGAGAACCAAATTTTTATTTGAAACCTACCAAGCATGGTGGTGCAGCTACAGGGGAGGCTGAGACAGGAGAACTGCAGTTGAAGTCCTATCTGGGCAATTTAGCAAGACTGTCTCAAAATAAAAATAAAAAGAACTGGGAATGTAGCTCAGTGGTAAAGCACCCTTGGGTTCAATCCCTAATGCGTGTGTACACAGACGCACACACAATCAGAAACCCAACTTTCTGCCCATGGTAGGGGAATAAGGGAGTCAGGATTCTGAGGTGGATTGGGAATATTCTGGGCCTCACCAGAAACATGTCTGTTCTATTCTCCTCTCAACAGCCCAATGATCCAGAGAGTCAGAAGAAACTCAGGAAGAAGTCTATCACAAAGACTGTACAACAAGTACCAAGTCCAACCATAATTCCAAACTTTATAGCTACCAATCCTAATTCCCCAGATCAACCCCATAGCCCACATCCCTCTGCAGGTCATACTCCAGGTCCCCAAAGCCCAGTTAACTCTTTTAATAGTCCACCTAGAAGTGCAGGTGTGCTGGAACACTGAGATAGCTGAGATACAGAAATATACTTAGAAATCTGCCTAGAGATTGAGTAAAGTAACCAAAAGCACCTAGTCCAAAATGTGGAACAGAGAAATTTAAGACTGGAGTAAAGGCAAATTTAAATAATAAATATTGTTTGTTGAATCTTTTACTGATTTGGATTTTCTCTCTCTCTTTTTTTTTTCCCCTTATGGTGCTAGGGATTGAGTCCAGGGCATCTCAGATGCTAAGCAAGGCCTCTACCAAATAGCTACATGCCCAGGCCCAGGCAGTATGGCTGCCTCATGTAACCCATAATTAGGAAGGTTGAAAGTAGAGGTGAAAAAAAATTTACAATGGTTTGGGGTGCAAACATTTCCACAAGACTGAGTTAGTTATACTCAGAAATGACCAAGAGAAAACTGGCTTAATTTTATAGCAAAAGGGAAGAACCTCAAAAAATCCATTCTTGCCCTTCATTTTTCATTCTACTTCAAAATCTGAATATATAGAGAGTATGTTTGAAGAAGGTGGCAAGGAAAGATATGGAGGGGCTGAGGGTATATCCCAGTGGCAGAGTGCTTGCCTAACATGTGAGACCCTGGGTTCACCACAACTAGAAACAACAAAAAAGGGTATAGAGGGGCTGGGGATGTGGCTCAAGCGGTAGCGCCCTCGCCTGGCATGCGTGCGGCCCGGGTTCAATCCTCAGCACCACATACAAACAAAGATATTGTGTCCGCCGAAAACTAAAAAATAAATATAAAAAAAAAAAAAAAAAGGGTATAGAAATCCAAAGTAGAAGACATTATCCTTATCTAAGCAAAATTATACAGTTTGGAAACTTAAGTATGGAAATGATTAGAAGACACAAGAAAAATAAAATGAGGGAGCAAGAACAAATTTATGGTTGAAAAACAATCATGATGTCCTACTACTCGACTCTTAAATAATTGGACTGGTGACAAGCCACCAAAAAATTCAAGAAGTAGAGGCTAGGGATGTTGCTTAGTGGTAGAGCACTTACCTAGCATGTCCAAGGCTCTGGGTTCTATTCCCAGTATTGAAAAATGAAAGTCAAAAAGCCTCCGATCCATTTTGCAGATTCCAACATGCTTATCATTGACCCTGTTCTGCATCTTCCTGGCTGTTAAATTTAATGCCCTTGCCAATCCTTCCCCAGTTTCAAAGCCAAATCATTCCCTCATGAATACTAGTACCTCACTCAAAGGACAAAGTAGACGTGAGCTGGATTAAGCTGGAGGAAAGCTGCAAGACTTCCCAGAGCAAGGCTAGCAAAAAGGGGAAGTGATCATTACTTAGATGGAAGACTGGGAACTGGGAGAGAAACTGTTAAGGTAGCAGTTTTCACTGTCTTAAGACTTTCCTATCCAACTGACACCAGTTAGAGGTCACTGTTATTCCTCTCCTACCCTCAGGTTTAACTAGCTGGCCAACAAGAACCATCTCTTTCCAGGCAGTGACAAAAGCTTGTAGTATCAGTTACTTGGAGGCCAAGGCAGGAGGATCCCAAGTTCAAAAACTAGCCTCAGCAATTTAACAAGGCCCTAAGCAACTTAGCAAGACCCTGTCTCAAAATAAAAAGGGATGGGGAATGTGTCTCATTGGTTGAATGCCCCTGGGTTCAGTCCCTAGTACCAAAAACAAACAAGACAAAACAAAACCCCCAAATTTGCAAACTATCAAAATAGTACTTCTGCCAAGGGATTTAGGGGCCCAAAGGCCAGACCTATATGGGTTATAAAAGCATTAAATGTAACCATT